AAAGTCATTTTAAATAAAGCCATTAAAGTAGATCTCTTGCAAAAAAGAATTTCTGTGGTGTAAAAGCTTACCTACGCTCCTAAAACACATTCAAATATTCAGCAATGTTCAACTGCGCTTTTGCTAAATATTTTCTCTTATAAATAGATTTTGTCAAGAAATCTATTAGCTTTTTCATGATGATCATTACCATAAACCCTTATCTTATCAATTTTAGACTATTACGGCAGTATATATTTGAGGAGCATAAGCAAGTTTTGACGGCAAAATGGCTGTCAGAAATAGGTTTTAGTGGTCTATTGATTAATGGATAGCCTATATAAAAAAGTAGTAAAACAGCATCTTGATTTGCATAATCGGTGATATCATACCTATTTTTCCACTAATGACGTCAGATTTTTTATTGCGAATACGTTTCAGATATAAACCCGCAAGTCTCGTTTGCAGTGTTATTTTAACTATTTCCTTTGGTGCCGTCTTTATTAACTTTTTTACTTGATTTATATGGTATTCAGCTCTTTCAACTATCGATACCATTGTTTCTTCATCCAGCCGTTCTGTAGTTGTATTGCGCAGGCTATTCATTAAGTGCCAAGCAACTCCACAATGATACGCTAATTGATCATTGCTATAATTTTGTATTGTTGTGGTAAAAAGTATTTTTATCAAAGTTACAGTAGTTTGTGCTGCAATTTTTTCTAAATTAGGAGTATTTCTATAGAATGGTTGATAAACCATTTGCTCATATCCATCAAGATAGTCATTGATTAAAAATTCTGGTATAGCAGCAGAGTATATAACATTTGCAAGTTCCAATATTACTTGATTATCATTTACTGCTTTATTGCAGTAGATCATACTTATTCTTTCACGCCACCATTGTAAACGTACTAGAGCTGTCATTGTTTCGCTACAATCATAAATTATATTGTTAATTTCGATATTAAACGCGTATAGAGCTAAATAATTACGTCTTACAGACCGTGACACAAATAAAGAACAAATGAAATGATCTCGGTCGTGTTGACGGACATAATCACTAATTATCGATTGCATATATACCTTCAA